GTTCAAGTCCTAACGCCCAGGACCTGTGAATATGACTGTCTGTAATTAGTGTCTTTGCGGATGTAATTAAGATGAGGTCATATTGGATTAGCTGGATTAGTGTGGGTTGTAACCCAATCACTGGTGTCCTTATAAGAAGAGACAGCAATTTAGAGACTATATGATGCTGGGAAGAAGGCCACAAGGCGATGAAGGCGGGATCACAGCAATATAGATGTGACAGAAGCTGGAGAGGGTCCTGGACCAGAGTCCCCCAGCCTTCAGAGAAGGCACCTGGATTTCAGATTTCTGGCCTCCAGAACTATGAGAATAAACCTTAGTCACCTTAAGCCCCTTCAGTTTGTGGTGGTTGCTTACGGCAGCCATAGGAGGTAAACACCCACATCTGTGACCACCTGAGTAGCATACCTTCCTTCCTGGAGGAAGTCCATGTTCTTTGCTAGGTGTCATCCTCCTGCCAACACTCTCAGCCTTGTCTCCCAGCTCCCAGAAGGAACTGTGTTGGCAGCAGGCACAGTCCCTTCTCCACTGCAGCCCCTCTCCCTGTGTACATAAGTGGCTTGGACAAGGCCAGAGTCTCTGTATGTTATGCTGTGACATTATACATAGAGTAGTGCAGTTATGCTCCTGCCACTGGATATGCCCTGCAGGCGCTTTGTGTGCTTGTTTTATTTTATGTTAAACTTCTGTGGATTATGAGAGTATGACTGTTTCCACACTTATGTAGCTATTCCCTTGTTTAGGGGCACATAGATCCTCCAGATGTCCACATCTCGTGTGGGCAGTGATCACCACAGCACAGTGATTACAATCAGGAAATAATGTCGCTGTGACACAAAACTGATGTGTCATCTGATGGTACTTGGTAAGATTTGGGATGCTGTCCCTCTGCCCTTCTTCTGACCCAGGGTCACGTGCTGTATCTGGTCCCCTCCAGTCTGCAGGGCCTCGCTGTGTCTCCTGATCTCGATGCTTCTGAAGTACTCTGACTGGCTGTGCTTGAGTTTGTCTGAGATTTCATCAGGATTACGTTCAGGTTCTGCACTTTTGGCAGGAGCCTCAAAGTGGGGCTGTGTCCTTTTCAGTGCCCTGTCAGGAGGCTCATGGGATGCATGTGCCCTGATACCAGCTTTGTTCACTCTTGTCTGGTTCAGGAATCTACCAGACTCCCCACTGTTGAGTCAGTTGTGATTAGTATGTTGTGGGGAGACACTTTGAGACTGTGAATTCTAGTTTATCATACCTTTACTCCTGGACTTAGCGTTCGTTGATGATTCTTGCTTGGTACTTTGTTGTGATATTTGTCAAATGGTGGTTTTTAAAAAATGTTTGTTGGTCCATCTGCGTTTACTGGTTGACCTACTCCTGTAAGGAAGAGCTTTCTCTTCCCTGTTTACTGATTTTTTTTACTATGATTCACGTTACATGGATCTGTGGACTCTCACTTACTCTGTGGGAAAGATCTCCTGGCATCACCTGCCAGCTGCCGTCGGAGCTGGCTTCATCCTCAGGCCTGTCCACTTCTTGCATCCTGAAAGACTCCAGCTTCATCTTGTCCTTTCCCTGCCATAGCCTGGAGCCAGCATTTCTCCAAGGACAATGTGGCCTGTTTTAAGATAAAATGCTAGGTATTTTTTCAAGTTGTATTGTGGCTGCTGTAGCCTTTCTTTTCTTTTTTTTGAGTTGGGATCTCACACTGTCACTGAGGCTGGAATGCAGTAGATGGCTTAGCACAGCCTCAAATCCAAGGCTCAGGTTATCCTTTTGTCTCAGCTTCCCAAGTAGCTGAGAAGATAGATGTGAGCTACCACACCTGACTAATTTTTGAATTTTGCTGTAGCCTTTCTAGGGGTATGTGTGTATACTTTGTATTACTGAGGGGTTGTGATGAATGAGTGATTGAGCCCCTGAAGGATGGTGCATGGTGGGCCAGGGAGAGGAGAGGTGGCCCCTTGCTCTGTGGGAGGGTAACTGTTGGTGGAATTAAGGAGAGTGGCTGGCTTGTCATCCATGGAGGCCATCCTGTGAAGGTGTGGCTCTGAAGTTGGGGCTGGGGTGAATCTGTGCAGTGATGGCAACCTGGGGTCTCCAGTTGCTAGTGACTTTGGGACCCTGCCCAGCTGACAGACCAACGTTGGGTGAGTGATACAGTTTGTTTTGGCTTGGGCTCCTTGGTTTGAAAATACGTTTGAATAGTGCCACTGGCATGCAGAGACCTCTTTCTGGGGAGGTGCAGCGGACCCTGCTGCCCCTGTTCTGCAACACTGCATCCTTCCTGGAGCCTGGGGTCCTCAGCTGTGGGCTGGGAAGATGGTCGTTGCTGCCAAGGATGGAACAAGTGGTCAGTGAAAAGGATGCACTTCAGATGAGCCAGACAGGAGCATCATTTCAGCTGTTGTGGTGTGTCCCTGGCCTGGGGCAGCCCTGTGCATGGTTGGTGCCTCTGTCACATGTGCACAGACCCTTTCTGGATTTGACCCATAGTCCCTTAGCCTGTGGCTAGGCAGTGGCGGGGCATGCCTGCTGACGGGAAGGCCCTGAGCCAGCTGGGTTGGTGGTGGTGCCTTTGTCCTGCTCTTGCATTTGCCAGGATGCCTCAGTGATGTCCCTTTTGGAGGATGCTGACTTTGGGCCTCTAAGGTGGTGTCTGTTAGTTCCTGTGGAGGGAGTGTATATACATATGTTCCAAAGAATGGGCAGTGAGCATTGAGTCTTTTTTTTGTTTTTTTTTTTTTCAGCCAGTGTCTCACTCTGTTGCCCAGGCTGGAGTGCAGTGGCATGATCACAGCTCACTGTAACCTTGACCTTCTGGGCTCAGACGATCCTTCCATCGCAGCCTCTTGGGTAGCTGGGACTATAGGCCACTGTACACCACCATGCCTAGCTCATTTAAAAATTTTTTTTTTGTAGAGATGTGGTCTTGCTAGGTTACCTAGGCTAGTCTCAAACTCCTGGGCTTAAGTGATCCTCCTGCCTTGGCCTTCCAAAGTGCTGGGATTACAGGTGTGAGTCACTGTGCTTGGCTGGGCATTGAGTCTCATTGAGCTCTTTTCAGCACTGATAAGGCAAGTTCATCTGACTTTTCTCCTTGGATCTATTATTCATTTTACTAGCAAATTTTGTGAAACTAGGTGCCTCTTGTTTTCCTGGCTGAGCCTTCTCTGCTGGACTGTGCCCTTTGACTGGGTGACCCTGGTGTTCACATGCCAAGGTTTTGGGGTAGCCTCAGTGGGTGGTGGGGACTGGGCTTCATTGTCCTGGCAACTTGCTCTTGCCCTGCGGGTGTCCCATTGAGCCCCTAGAGGCCTGCTGGAAGCCAGAGCTAGGCGGTGGTTGGGGATGTGCACGCTGAGATTCCATGCCAGTCCCATTGCTGCTGTTTTATTTTTATTTATTTGTTTATTTTTGAGTTGGAGTCTCACTCCGTCATCCAGGCTGGAGTGCAGTGGCACGCTCATGGACACCGCATCCTTGACCTGCTGGGCTCAGGTGAAACTTCCACCTCAGCCTTCCAAGTAGCTGGAACTATAGGTGCACGCTACCATGCCTGGCTAAATTTTTAAAATTTTTTATTGTAGAGATGAGGTCTAGCCAAGTTGCCCAGGCTGTTCTCAAACCTGTGGGCTCAGGCAGTTCCCTCCCCTTGGCCTCCCAAAGTGCTGGAATTACAGGCATGAGCCACTACGCCTGGTCTGCTGCTGTTCTAATTCCCAGGAGTGCTCTTCCGTCTTCTCTGACTGCTCCTTTTGAGGATGTTTCAGTCTCACTTCATGGAGACAGCGCCTCATCTGCCAAGGGTCAGATTGACAGTGCTCTGGAAGGAAGGTCACCTTCTTCAAGATGCTGTTTTCTCTGTTTTGGTCTTGATTGCACCCTGATCTGGTGACCCTTGGCAGCTGTTCAGACTTGACAGTGGGACAATGAGAAGGATTGAAGTGGGGTCACCTTGCCGGATGCTTTACCCATCAGCGTCTGGGGGAGCAGCTCCTGTGCAGGCTTTGCAGCCTCTGCCTGGGGTGGGAGAGCTTGGTGCCCTGCAAACTCATGCAGCTTCAGACCTGGTGCAGAAAGCTGTCTTGTTCCCTACACAAGAGAGGAAATCCCAGCTTCAAGGAGGGGACTCTTGTCCAGCTGGCTGGAGTGAGGTGGGAGCGGTGGTCAGCCTCTCGGAGCAGATGCACAGCGTCTAGCAGTTCACAGTCAGGGTTTCTGCACTAGTGGTGGAGCTTGGCTTTCCAGAGCATCCCAGCTTCCAGGTATCCTTGCCATCATCTTCTGCTTTCTTCCCCCTTTTTGGAGTCAGGGGCCAGGGAAGGCCTTTCCTATTGAGGTTTTGGAAGGAGTGGGTCTCACATACGCCATTAACCAGAAGACCACCACTTTTAGATTTTCCAGGAGAGAACTTGCGTTGTGATTTGAAAAGTAGAAGGGTGTTCGCAGGCAGGATATCAGAAATTTTTTTTTAGTTGGAGTCTCTGTTGCCTAGGCTGGAATGCAGTGGCATGCGTATGGCCATTGCAGTCTTGACCTGCTGGCTCAGGTGACCCTTCCACCTCAGCCTTCCAAGCAGCTGAAACCACAGGTGTGTGCCCATCATACCCAGCTAATTTTTTGATTTATTATAGAGACGAAGTCTCCCCATGTTGCCCAGGCTGGTCTTGTACTCCTGGACTCAGACAATCCTCTCGCCTCTGCCTCCCAAAGTGCTGGGATTACAGGCTTGAGCCACCATGCCCACTCACTGTAGAAATATTTTATATACAGGGGATTCAATGTGTAACAGAAACGTCAACGAAATGATTGTGCATATAGTCATGTGATGACTTCTCTCTATCAAACAGACACAGCTCTGATGAGCCCATGGAAATGGATCATTCATGTGTAAAATGGAGACATGACCTTGAGATGTAGCTCAGAGCCAGCGATGGCCTGGGCCTTTTGAAGTCTGTTACGGAACTCCAGTGCCCATTGGTGTGGACAGAGGACACGGGGCCCTGACCATGGTCACGCTCATCACTGAGAAGCTGCAGAACCAGAGTCTGGACGACCTCACCCTCAAGGCCGAGGTCCGCCCGGTAAGCTGGCTGCGGGCAGGCTGCTCACCCTGCAGTATCACGGGAGATGGCTAAGCTGGGAGGTGGAAGTGAGGCCTGAGGTCTGAGGAAATTAGTGGGAGTACTGCCAGGGCAGGGGTGGGGGTGTTCAGTGCACATGGGCCCCAGAGTCCATGGTGGGTTTTCAGCATCATTTAAAAAAAAATTTTTTGGGGGGGGGGTTGGAGTTTCCTCTGTCACCTAGGCTGGAGTGCAGTGACATGCTCACGGCCACTACAACCTTGACCTGCTGGGCTCAGACGATCCTTCTGCCTCAGCCTTCCAAGTAGCAGGAACTCCAGGCATGCACCACCATGCCTGGTTAATTTTTTTATTTACTGTAGAGATGAGGTCTTGTCAAATTGCCCAGGCTGGTCTCAAGCCTGTGGGCTCAGGCAATCCTCTCACCTTGGCCTCCCAAAGTGCGGGGATTATAGACATGAACCACCATGCCCAGCCAAAAAAACCCCAAAAAATGTTTCATGGAAGGCTGATCTATACATAGGAATCCTGCAATCATAAGTGCAAATATACCTGTTACTTGCCATTCAGATCAAGCAGCAGCACATCACCCTTGCTGGGTACCTCTGAGGAAGCCTATGTCTTGGGTTTTAGCACCACAGATTAGACTTTCCTGTTTTGAACTTTGAGTGGGTGGATTTCTTTTCCCACTGTGGTGGTAAAGTGAACTTTTGATGAGCCACCTTCAGGTCCCCCCCCCCATAGTCATGTTTTTTGAGAACACAGCTGCTTGTCCCGGTATGTCCTAGGCTGGCAACTATGACAGTGTCTTACGCGTATTTCTGTCTCCTGACTGTTTTGCACATGGCTGGTTGGAGCTAGAGCTGCCCCGTCCTTTATACTGTATGGTCACCTGTCACACATGCCTTTTTTTTTTTAGAGACAGGGTCTATCTCTGTCCCCAGGCTGGAGTGCAGTAGCATGATCATAGAAACTGTAGCCTTGAACTCCTGGGCTCAAGTGATCCTTGACCTCCCAAAGTGCTGGGATTTTAGGCGTGAGCTGCACCTGGCCAATACATGGCTTTTGTTTTGTTTTGTTTTTTTGAGTCAGAGTCTCATTCTGTCACCCAGGCTGGAGTGCAGTGGCATCTCATGGCCACTACAACCTCAACCTGCTGGGCTCAGGTGTTCCTTTCACCTCTGCCTTCTGAATAACTGGAACCACAGGTGCACACTACCACACCTGGCTAATTTTTTTGATTTATTGTAGAGACGAGGTCTTGCCATGTTGCTCAGGCTGGTCTCGAACTCAGCTCAAGCAGGCTTCTTGCCTCCACCTTCCACAATGCTGGGATTACAGGTGTGAGCCACTGTGCCCTGCTCACATGGCTTTTTAAACTGAAATTGAAGTTAATTAAAATTAAACACAATTAACAGTGCTGTTTTTCATTTGCACCAGATGCACTTCAAGCGCTCTGTGTATATGACTAGTGGTTGCTGTATTGGATAGTGCAGATGTGAACATTCCATCAACAGTCCATAAAAGATTCACTTTTATTTTTTTGGTCAGAATCTCACTCTGTTGCCCATGTTGGAGTGCATTAGCCTGATCCCTGCTCGCTACAGCCTTGACGTCCTGGGCTCAGATGATCCTTCCACTTTAGCCTCCCAAGTGACTGGGACTATGGTGTGTGCCATCACGTCTGGCTAATTTTTTTTTTCTAAAGTGGGATTTATTGAGAGGACCAAAAAGCTCCCACGTTGGGAGGGGACCCAAGGGGGTTACCTTTTTTTTTTTTGGAGTTGGAGTCTCACTCTGTCACCTAGGCTGGAGTGTGGTGGTATGCTCACGACTACTGCAGCCTCGACCTGCTGGGCTCAGGTGATTCTTCCACCTCAGCCTTTCAAGTAGCTGGAACTTCGGGCATGTGCCATTATGCCTGGCTAATTTTTAAAAAATTTATTGTAGAGATGAGGTCTCGCTAAATTGCCCAGGCTGGTCCCAAACTCGTGGGCTCAGGCAGTCCTTTCACCTCAGCCTCCCAAAGTGCTGGGATTGTAGGTGTGAGCCACTGTGCCCAGCCACCTGGCTAATTTTTAAATTTTCTTTTTAGGTATAAGGTCTTGCTATGTTGTCTAGGCTTGTCTTGAACTCCTGGGCTCAAGCAATCCTCCCTCCTCAGCAGTCCTCCCAAGGTGCTGGGATTACAGGTGTGAACCACTGTGCCCCTCCAGAATTCAGAGTTGATAGACCACTTTGTTTTTCCATTCCTCTGTTGATGGACACTTTGCTTGTTTCCACTTTTTGGCTATTATGGATGCTGCTGCTGTGAACATTCATGTACAAGTTTCTGTGGAAGTATTTATTTCTTTTGGGTACAAACCTGGGAACACAATTACTGGGTTATATGGTAATCTTGTTTAACATTCTGAAGAACTGCCAAACTATTTTTCACAGCAACGACAACATTTTTCATTCCCCAGCAGTGTGTGAATGTTCTGACTTCTCCATATTCTCCTCAGCACTTGATATTGTTCATTTTCTGGTTTACAACCATCCTCCTGGGTGTGAGGTGACATCTCATTGTTGCTTTGATTTACATTTCCTAATGACAAGTGATGTGAGCATCTTTTCATCTGCTCATTGGCCATGTGTATATCCTCTTCAGAGTAATATCTGTTTAAGTCCTTTGTTCACTTTAAAATTAGGTTATTTCTCTTTTTATTGTTGAGCTGTAAGAATCCTTTATGTAGCCAGGCTCGGTGGCTCAGCCTGTAATCCCGTGCCTTTGGGTGACTAAGGTGAGTGGATTGCCTGAGCCCGTGGGTTCAAGACCCGCCTGGGCAGGCGAGACCTCATCTCTACAATAAATCAAAAAAAATTAGCCGGGTGTGGTAGCGCGCGCCTGTAGTTCCGGCTACTTGGAAGGCTGAGGCGAAAGGATTGCCGGAGCCCCGCAGGTCGAGGCTGCAGTCGCCGGGAGCGGACACTGTACTCTAGTCTGGGTGACAGAGTGAGACTCCAACTCAAAAAAAAAAAAAAATAATAATAATCCTTTATGTATTTTTGATTCTAGTCCCTTATCAGCTATGATTTGCAAAAACTCTCTCCCATCATTATATTATCTTTTCACTCTCTTGATAGTGTCCTTTGTGGCACAAAAGCTTTTATTTTCAGTTCAGTTGTTCTTCTTTTGTTGCTGGTGTTTTGGTGTCATATCTAAAAATTGTTTGCCAAATCCAAGGTTATGAAGATTTACACCTAGATTTTCTTAGAAGAGTTTAATATTTCTAGCTTTTACTTGTAGGTTTTTGATCCATTTTGGTTTAATTTTTGTATATGGTATGAGGTAAGGGTCCAATTTTATTTTTTTGCAAGGGGAGATCCAGTTGTCCCAGCATCATTTGTTGAAAAGATGTTGAATGGTTTTTGGCATCCTTTTCAAAAATTTATATTTTTTAAGGCTAAATCTTTGAAACTGTGTGTATATTTTACACTTTTAGCAAATCTCAATTCAGATAATAACTTTTCATTACAGAAATATTTGATTTGTATTTAGACTTAATAACATTGATTGTTTTTAGTTTGTTTGTTTTTGTTTTGTTGGTTTTTTTTTTTGAGTTGGAGTCTCACTCTGTCGCCCAGACTGGAGTGCAGTGGCCGCTCCCAGCCACCGCAGCCTTGACCTGCCCGGCTCCGGCGATCCTTCCACCTCAGCCTTCCGAGTAGCAGGAACTACTGGCGCACGCTACCATGCCCGGCTAATTTTTTGATTTATTGTAGAGATGAGGTCTCGCCAAGTTGCCCAGGCAGGTCTCAAACCCGCGGGCTCAGGCAATCCACTCACCTCGGTCTCCCAAAGTGCTGGGATTACAGGCTGAGCCACCGAGCCTGGCTTTGTTTTTTTTTTTTTTTGAGATGATCTTGCTGTTACCCAGGCTGGAGTGCAGTGGCATGATCACAGCTCACTGCATCCTTGAACTCCTGGGCTTCAGTAATCCTCCTACATCAGCCTCCCAAGTTGCTGGGATTACAGGCATGAACCACCATGCCT